AGAGACGTGATAGTCCAGTTTACGAGAAAAAAGACTAGGGATGAAGTTTTGTTCAGAAGTAATAAAAATCCAATATATTATAAAGAAACTAAGATTGCGGTTCTGAAGGAATTTCCCCAAGCAACTTTAAATAGAAGAAGAAAATACTACTTCCTTACGGACGAATTAAAAAAGAGGTCAATCAGATTTAGATGGGAAAGGATTGAAGGGATTATGGTAACATATAAAGAAGAGAGATACTGGTTGACAACAGAACAAAAGGCTAAAGTTTTCTATGATAATCTAATGAAAGAATCGGAAGGGGAGAAACAAGAAGGGAGAAAAGTAGACAAGAAAACTCTGACCCCTGGAAATGGAAATGGAAAAGAAAAAAAGAAAGCAAGGTTTGATTCTCCGGAAGATTATGGACTTACGAGTAGTGGACAAGGAAGTACAACAACAACATTTCACGATCTTGGAGAAGGTGCATATGGCCCAGAAGTAGCAGCGCAGAGGTTATCGGTTATGGATTTAGGCGACATTGGATTGGATACAGACACAGTTGAATAAAATGGCGGATCGACAAATTAAGTGTTTATCAAATAATATCAACGGTCTGAACTCACCCCAGAAACGCAAAAAAGTGTGGAATAAATTACAGAAAGCAAATTGGGATATCATCCTGCTACAAGAAACGCATATTTGCCACAAACATGTGGCTCATTTAGAAAATAAAAAATTGGGAAAGACATTTTATTCATCGGATGAAAAAAAGAAGAAGGGTGTGGTAACATATATAAAGGAAAATTTAACACCAGAATTGGCATTCAAGGATTTGGAAGGAAGATGTGTGGAGGTAAAAATTCAACTGGGAAATTTAAAAATACTAGTATGTAATATATATGTGCCAAATGGCCCAAAGACTAAATTTATTCAATTTTTACAATCAAAATTGAGAGAAACGGAATTTGATGAACTCTTACTGATAGGAGACTTCAATGGTGTGATGGACAAACAAAAAGACAAGAATAAACTGCAAAAAAGGGGAGGAAACAGTGTTTTACCCCAAAAGTTTTTTGATTTACAAAAAGAATTTGAGCTGGAGGATACGTGGAGAAGAAAGAATGAGAAAAAAAAGGATTATACTTTTTATTCACATAGACATCAAACATGGTCAAGGATTGATATGGCATGGATAACAAAAAAATTAGCTACTAAAATTGTGGAGATGGAAATATTGCCTAGAGACGTTTCAGATCACTGTCCATTAGAAATACTAATTAATCATAAAGGTTTTCAAAGGAAGTGGAGATTAAATGAAAATTTGATTAAAACGGAAGAAGACAAATTACATTATAATAAAATCGTTCAAGAGTATCTAGAAATTAATGACATTGAGGAGACAAAAATACAAGTGACTTGGGACGCCCTCAAAGCGGTTTTGAGAGGATGCTTTATTCAACATGGGTCCAGGAAGAATAAAGACAGAAATAAAAAAATGAAAGAATTGATGAATAAGATTGCTAATAAAGAAACAGAGTTAAAAAAGAAACCACAGTGTAAAAAATTGAATAAAGAATTAGCGAGACTTAATCAAGAGAAGTCTCGCTTGGAAACGGAAAGACAAGCAAGAGAGCTGAAGTTTTTGAAACAACAATCTTTTGAAAATGCGAATAGATCAGGGAAATGGTTAGCAAGACAAGTAAGAAAGAAGAAACAAACTACACAAATTACAAAAATAATATCGGGAGATAAAACTGTTACAACTGATAAGGAGATTATGGGAGAATTCATGAAATTCTACAGTAAATTATATACGAAAGATGGAATAAAGAAGGATGATATTACAGCATATATAGGCCAATTGAAATTGCAGAAAATTACAGAGGAAATAAGAGAAAAATTGAATAAAGAAATTATGGAAGAAGAGATTGAAAGAGCAATTAATAAAATGGATGCAGATAAAGCTCCGGGACCAGATGGATTTACAGCAGGATTTTACAAGTCAATGAAAAAAACTGTGGTACCAATGTTAAAGAAAGTCTTAAATGAAGCATTAAATCACCAAAGAATCCCAGAAACCTGGAAGCAAGCTGAGATAGTAATGATACACAAAGAAGGTTCAGCCCTGGAAGATATCAAGAATTATAGACCGATTTCCCTATTAAATGTGGACTATAAAATATTTACGAATATACTGGCGGCGAGACTAAAGGAATTTTTGAAAGATTGGATAGGGGAGGACCAAACAGGGTTCCTCCCCGGAAGATATATGAAAGATAATATCCGCACAGTTTGGATTTGATAGAATATTTTGAAGTGAACCATCAGAAGGAAGCTGCCATTTTATCAATTGATGCAGAGAAAGCATTTGATAATTTAAACTGGGACTTCTTCAAGATATTGATTCAAGAATTGGACATGGGGGCTAAATTTATAAATGCAATTGATGCAATTTATGATCTACAAAAGGCAAAAATTCGGATAAACGGCCAATTATCAGAGGAATTTGAGATTACAAAAGGAACGAGACAAGGATGTCCGTTATCCCCGTTAATTTTTATAATGGCGTTGGAACCATTAATGATGAAAATAAGAGAAGATACAAATGTTAAAGGAGTAAAAATCGGGAAATATGAATACAAAATAAGAGCCTTTGCGGACGATTTACTGGGAATAGTGGAAGACCCAATTAATAATTTACAAAACTGGATTGAAAAAATACAAGAATTTGGGAAAGTGGCAGGCCTCAAAATAAATAAAGGGAAAACTAAAATACTAACTAAAAATATAGGGAAAGAAGACCAAGAAGAAATTACAAGGATTACAGGAATGGAAATAGCGAAAAAATTAAGGTACCTGGGGATTTGGTTGACAGCAAAGAATGGCCAACTATTGAAGAATAATTATGACTTGACTTGGAGCAAGATACAGAAAGATTTAAAGAAATGGAGCTTATTGAAACTATCTCTACTAGGAAGAATTGCGCTCATAAAAATGAATGTTTTACCTAAACTATTGTTTTTATTTCAAAATATACCCATAATCAAAAATCAAACAGAATTTATAAAATGGAAGAAAGAACTATTGAAATTTGTGTGGAATGGGAAAAGACCGAGAATTAAATATTTGAACTTAATTGATAAAAAAACACGAGGGGGACTGGGATTCCCAGATCTGAAAACATACCATGAGGCTAGTGCCCTTTTGTGGATAAGAGATTGGATGACATTAGAAAATGGAAAAGGCTTGAACTTAGAAGGACATGATCTACGTGTAGGCTGGCATGCCTACACGTGGTACGATCGAGAAAAAAAGGAAAAAAAATTGGAAACCATTTTGTAAGAGCATCATTATTAAGAGTATGGATGAAATACAAGAATCATTTTTATACTAAAACGCCTCTATGGGTTTCACCGATGGAGGCGTATCAAAGAAGATTACTGGGTTGGAGAGCGTGGCCAACATATAGAGATATACTAGTGAGGAATACTATGGAAATTAAATCCTTCCAGCAAATGAAAGAAATAAATGGTAATTTGACGTGGTTACACTACTTGCAAATGAAAGAATATATCAAGCAAGACAATAAGATAGGCTTCGCCTGGGAAGAGTCAACTTGGGACAAAATATTAAAGACGAATAAGAAAGTAATTTCAGTTATTTATAATACACTATTAACCTGGCTAACGGAGTGCGAGCAAGTGAAAACATGTATGATAAAATGGGCCGAAAACATAAGAAGACCTATTCAATTTAGGGAGTGGGAGCAGATGTGGAACAAAAAATTGAAATATGTATATGCAACAGATTTAAAAGAAAACTGGATAAAAATGTTCCACAGATGGTACACCACTCCTAAGAAATTATCTTTAATGAACAAGAATACTTCTGATAAATGTTGGAAGGGTTGCCATCAAACAGGTACTTTTTATCATATGTGGTGGACGTGTAAAGAAATAGAGAAGTATTGGACGAAAGTACATGAAGAGCTACAAAAATTTTTGAAGAGAGTTTTTAAGAAGAAACCAGAATATTATCTATTGGGATTTACAGATTTGGAATTACAATTAGATGAGAACGAAGATAGACTATTTACCTATGCTACAACAGCAGCGAGAATATTATTGGCGAAGTTTTGGAAACAGGAAGATATCCCTACCACTGAAGAGTGGTTAGGGAAACTAAGAGAAATAAGAGAAATGGACGAATTAACTTTTTTCTTGAAAAAGAATACCGGGAACCCGATAAAGAGGACAGATTGGACTCTATATGAAAATTACGAAAAGGAAATAAATAAATAAGAGGAATACTATGAAGTGGATATAATGGAAATATCATTGAGGACACAACACCTGATGGAGAGATGGAAGTCAATTTTTATTTTATACTTTTTTTTTCTTTTTTTTCCCTTTTTTTTTTTTTCTTTTTTGTGTGTGGCTTTTATATTTTTGTATTTTTTTGGTGGACTTGGGGGTAGGGGATGTATTTCTTACTTTTTTCCTACTTTCCTATCATCTTTTTTAATATTCTCCCTCTTTCGATGTTATTTTTAAAACCTTAATAAAAACTATTATAAAAAAAATAAAAAAATAAAAAAGATCTTGATGGGAAATTGTCTGGGAAGTCTGTGGATTATCAAGTAAAGATAATATAGAAATGTAAACTTTTTGTAGAAATAATTGAAGCAGTTTTGCAAGTACCTACACCTGTTGGAACTTTGGAAAGGCAGCTCACCATTTTTAGAAATCGCTTTGTCCTGTAAATATCTTTTCATTTTCCTATATAAGAAAAAACAGTTTTTGCTGCACATTCTGTCAATAGCAGGGATACAAGTCTGCCATGACTCATGGAACAAAGCATTCCTTTTCACTTTTACATTATATTCAATTTTTTTTATATAAAAAAAACAATACTTACCACAAGTAAAGAATTTTCAGTTAGAATAAACATGTAAGTTTGTTGTCATGTAAAATTCAAGAAGGAATGAAAGTTCTTTTTCTTTTCTCGCTATCTTTCAGCCCTTGGTATCTTTCTGGATCAGCCTCTTCTGTAAACCCTCCAGGTTTTGAGACAAGGAGAGGAAGATTTCCTATCTGGCCAGAGTGGAATGAAGCTGATATCAATGTAGAAAAGTGGGATGCAGGGAAAGGAGGAAAGGAAAAAGACAAAGCAGGAAGAAGCCCTCTTTTAGTAAGTTTTCTTAATAAAGTAAACTTGTAGTAAATTTCTTAGTGTTACATAGTTAATTAGTTAATATTCTTAAGCCCAATTTTTAAAGAATGTTTTCATTTTCCAAACTACTTGTATACTCAAGTGGCAATCTAGAGTGTTTCTAGTTTATATAGTTTATATATTCAAGGTAAGTGAGCAATTTTGTTGGTGTACTCCATCCTGATCTTCCCAGGATTGTGCAGAACAATAGAAACTAGCGATCAATTGGAAATGTTTCATACATTTTTGTTGCATAATGCTACAATATGTTTATGATCCACAATTGTTGATTTTTTTCATTTTTGCAGTATCTCTTGAATATATGTGCCAGTAAAAATTAGATACTTTGAATATGATTGTGAACTTTTCTTGTGTCAATGTCTGTTTTACAGTTTATATTAAGATAATCTAAATGTAATTTAAAAGTGTTTAATCAAATTTTAAAAACAACTACACACATTTTGACTGGTTCTTGTAGCAGCTGTGGATGCCAGAACCATACAACCTCCCCCAAATTGTGAAAATTTATCCCCAGATATGTTTCAGAACTATTGTGGGAAATGAATGCTAGTGCGAATACTTGACTAACTGGAGCATGCAGGTCCAAAATAAATCCCAATCTTTCTCTAAATTTTGGCACTGGGAAGTCTCCATTTTGGAAAGTCATCAACTTGTCCTTGAAATATATATACTTAAATTTCTTAGATAAGCACATAGTGTTGGATCAGACTTAGTCTGCATCAAATAGCTCTGGGGAAAACTAGTCATGATTGACTGAGGTGTTACTGATTTTAATGGCTTTCATTAGTGCAAGCCATCAATTATATAATTATTCACAGGGTCACCTTAAGTTGAAGCCAGCTTAACGGCACATAAAAACATATATTGTTTTTATTCTTTTATAATTTAATATTTCATACAGCACTTCTTTGAAGATCCAGAAGGAAAAATTGAACTTCCTTTTTCTTTAAAAGTGAGTTCCTGGAAGAGACCACAAGAAATATTAATCAATAAGGTAAGAAAATTATCTACCTCAAGCAAATATCATACAACTGTAATATTAAATTAAGAAATAACTACCAGTTTAAAATATTGATCTCTTGGGTATCTTTGCAATAATACTTTAATTGGTCAGTAATCAGAAGAGAATAGTACTTGTTGATTAGTATACTGATATAACAAGGTGTATTTTTAAACTATCTTTATTTTGGAATACCAAATTCATATTCACTGGAAGAAACTTCTGTTTCGATCAGTAAAACAACAACAAAAATTATTGGGTTTTAGGCCCTGGGGATCTTTGGAGCACTGCTACAGAAAATTGAATTGGATAGATTGCATCTAATGTGGTTTATTAGATATGGTTATAGAAAGAGCCATCGTTTTGGGAGGCACCTTCAAGACTCTCAGCAAGTCCTCTGAACAGAGGCAGTCCATACAGGTTAGCTCTTTTCCCTACATAACAATTCTAGCCTCTTATTTCATACAGAAGCTTGGCTATGGAACTTGAGTCAGCGTTTACTTTGTGAAAAGGTCTCAGAAAGGCATTTCTTGCTATCCCTGGGCAGTGAGGAAAATCAATCCCAGATGTGATTCCAACCAGCAAAATGCATATCAAAAGAGGCTGAATGGGGAAGCCAGCATTCTGAAAAACCTCCAGCACCCCAATATCAGATATCATGCCTTCACTGAAACCAAAGATGGAACCATGTGTCTTGTCATGGAATACGGGGGAAAGAAGTCTCTCAACGACCTGATTGAAGAAAGGCAGGAGAGTTGCTTGGGGCCCTACCCACCTGAGATCATCTTCACTGTTGTCTTGCACATGGCAAGGGGGCTGAAGTATCTTCTCAATGAGAAGAAATAGCTTCATGGTGATATCAAATCCTCCAATGTTGTCATTAAGGATTACTTTGAGTCAATAAAAGGGTGTTTCACTGCCTCTGGATGAAAATATAACAGCGAGTGATCTGAAGGCCATTTACATTTGCACTGAGCCCTGGATGCCCAAGGAAGCCCTGCCAGGAAACAATGGCAACAGAAACACATATTTCGATGAAACCAACTTTGATGACAAGGCCTATCACGTAGTGCTTGGGACTCAGTCTGCCCACAGAGTGGAAGAGCTGGGCCCCTCTTACCAGGTGGCCATCGAGCTCTTTGTCCTCACCTCCATGGAGGAGGCACGGAAGCACTCCTTGGCTGTACACATCATGGAGACTGTAGAGGCAGGTGGAACTGTGCAGTAGACATCCCAGATGTGCCTTTCAGAGTTTAAACTTGGACCTCTTTCTTAGCTGTCTGACTAGGGCTCCCCCCCCCCCCTTCGCTGCTCTTGTTCTCAAGGGAGATAACGTTCCTTCAACCATTGGGTTTTTGGTTTTTTCCTATTAATCAACTATATTTCCTCTCCACTCCCCCCCCCCCCAAGATATTTGGGACTTCAACTATAACAAATACTTTCTGTTAAAAAAGTATTATTATGTATTTAATATATGGTTCTTGTAGTTTTTTATGGGTAAGCAGAGGACAACTGGTATATGTCATATGTTCTCTATCTCAAAAATTAGCACTGATAGGGGAAAGCAGGTGCCATTTTTTGGACTTGGCATCTCAAATATACCCAGAAACAAGTCTAACATGAGGCACCAAATACATGTCCAGTGTAATCTATGGAGAAGGAATGGAAGGAAAAACTCTTAAGATAATTCTGGTTACAAACAGGTGAGTTCCAGCACAAAATGTCACTTTCTGGATTATGCCCAGATAATTGTTTGACAGTGATGCCTTGAAGAGCAATTCGTTAATGATGCTAAATGGTTTCCGTAAATCAGAGGAAGGGCCAATCTACATAGTCCAGATGAATCAGGAAAAGAGTGAATGCCCTTGCATCCACGAAGGCCACTTAATTCAACCTTGTTCTATATTTTTAAAAGATGTGGGATGCTCTGGAACTTCCGTGAAGCTCAGCTGCACTTTGTGGGAGTGTGGACAATTGGGTCTCTTCTTATTCGTCACTCTGAATCAGCATTAGCATAAATGGCCTGTTTAGATAGTCCTGAGGATCAAAAGGAGATTTTTTTTTATAACAATGAGAAACTGGGTATGTTGGATGTCATTTCTATTGTTGCAAGAATAGTTAAATAGTTGCAAGATCTTCTTTGAAGACAGGAGTGCAAACAGTGCTCTATGTACCTGGTACTGACGGCCTTTTTATTTCTTTACCAAGATCCTGAATTCATTATTGTTTTAAAGTGCTTTGTGGTTTTCTCTGTTTTTATTTAGTTAATTGGTTTTAGTTTACTGTATTTTTATTTGCATTGCAATGTTAACTTCTTTTAGTGAGACTGAAAACCTAAATACGGTACTTATGAAAATGTTTAAACAAATAAATACATTTACATTTTAAAATGAATGAGAATATTGGATAGTACAGAAATATTTTAAGTATTTCACTGAAAATAATTTCTCTCAGGTGCCTGTGGTTGTAAAAAATGAAACTTGGTTTGACCTCTTTTCACCCAATGAACATTTAATGAACAGTGAGGTACGTGAATAATAGCTTGTTTAGCAAGAAATAAGTCAGGTTTGTTATGTGACAAAATGGAAAAACACGTGTTATTTTTTAAAAAGAGTATGCTTAATATGAAAAAAGGAATCACCCTTTTATCAACAAAGTTGGGTAGCTTGCATCAAGGAGTCAGCACAGAGAGAGGAATAGATTAAAGTATTTCTCAGCTTTAAAATGTACCCATTTTTATGCAGAAGAATTCTTATTTTGTGAAAATAATGCGAAGATGGAGATTAAGTTGTCATTGTTGGGAGGAAAGGCTGCCTTTCCAAGCAATCTACAACACCAAGCTTCAAGTGTTGAAGATTGCTTGGAGAAACAGTCTTCTACATTACATAATCTTCAAGGCCACAGTACTCTATAAATGTAGGTTTAGAAAATACCCTGTCTGTATGCCAAGAGTTTTTTCAAGTGAGCTTTCCCAGAAAGTTGTGATTCCAAAGAGCTACTAGAAATTCAACCATAAGTAATAGATCCCTGAAATTGGCAAGCTTTTCTCCCAACTGACAACAGTAACTTTGCTTTAATTTAGAATCATAGAATCATAGAGTTGGAAGAGATCACATGGGTCATGTAATCCAACCCCCTGCCATGCAGGAAAAGCACTATCAAAGCATCCCTGACAGATGGCCATCTAGCTTCTGCTTAAAAGTCTCCAAAGAAGGAGTTTCTACCACACTCCAAGGCAGAAAGTTCCACTGTTGAATAGCTCTTATGGTCAGGAAGTTCTTCCTAATGATCAATTGGAATCTCCTCTCCTGTAATTTGAACTCATTTCTCCATGTTCTAGTCTCCAGGGCAGCAGAAAACAAGCCTCTTCCCTCTTCCTGTAACATATTTAAATATAGCTATCTTCTATCATGTCTGCATAGTCACACTGTTTTAGTATGTGTATAGAATTGCACACTGTGGTATAAAACAGAGAAGATGCCAATAAATAATTGACATGGGTTGAGAATCATTGCAAACACTTATAGCTTAGTAAACATCATATTGCTATAAACAACAGAATACTCTACTTCCTGTTAACATCAGACAATTTACGTTCATTAGAATTCAGCCAAAGTCACTTGTGAGAAAAATGGTTATATTGGAAGAATGTATTACTGTAAATGAACAAATATCATACACATGTAGTTGACTCTCAGTATTCTGTATATACAGCTTCAACCATAATTGGCTTGAAAATCTGTTTCCTCTTAAAAAAACAAAAGGCACAAATGACCGTTTTATATACGTGACACCATTTTATATAATGGGATTTCCATGGATTTTGGTATTCATTGAGGGTCCTGGGGGAAAAAAACAGTGGATACCAAGAACCTACTGTAGCTCATTTTTTTTCCAGAGCTGAATATGAGCCCAGTACTCTGTAATAAATCAAAATGCACTGCTTAGTTCAAATATGCCATTATATGGAGCATACAAAATTTAAAATTTGAAGTATACTCAATGCATAATTTCACACACAATCAAGATTTATATCTGGCTAATAACCCTCTTTAAATGTTATATTATTTTGATTTAGGTTATAATGTAGCTTATTTATTCTTTGGAACAAATAGCTTTGATTCTTTTGATATTTGTTTTATACCTATTTCATTGATATTTAGATTTTGAAGTTTAGGTACAAATTGCTCGTGGTTTAACATCCTCTATAACCCTTAATTTGTTATTCTCTGTACAAACAGAATAATTTTCATTATGTATTGTGTAATGAAGAGTTGGAATGTGTACAAAACTAAGCTTAGCTTACCTTGATTTTTATTATTTTTTCTGCAACAACACGCTGGCTTCAGCTGATGCGATGGATAATAAGTGAGATCTATGCAGTTTGGAAAATATATAATGCAGCAGTTTTAAGTCCTGAGGCTAAAGCTAACACCAATGAAGTGCCTGTGCTTTTGTGGAAGCCATGGGAACATATTTACGCATTATGTAAAGCTATCAAGGGACATATGCCATTGTACAATACATATGGAAAATATGTTGTAAAATTGTACTGGATGGTAAGTATTATGTATGCTATATTACACTTTAACTTTGTATAAAATATTTAATAAACCATACAGGACACTTATTTGCATGTGTGTAACCTCTGAATACTAACGATAGTAAGAAACCCAAAATGTGCGTGTCACTGTACAAATCTATCATTCTGCTTTAGGATGTAATATGATTCCTCTTAGGCAAGTCACTTTCTCAGTTTCGTGCAAGGCAAAGGCATGGTTCGCCTTCAAGTTGCCGTAGCTTGGAAATGACTTGAAACATACAACAGTGACATACCAATAGACATTACAAACTTTCTCCAAAGTTCTGATTCAAATTGTATACAATTTATTGTTTGGGATTTAATTTAAATGTTTTAAAAAGGGGCAACTTGTTCTCTCTTTGTTATGTCAAAGTTAGTGAAATAAGCTTGCATCATAGGTTCATTTTTCATAAAAAAGCAGTGCGCATTAACTCAATTAGTGTTTTATGTGCTAATGAGAGATTTGCCTCAGAGGCCCCCTTATCTGCTTTGAGCTTGATTATATGAATCTAAACTGCCATATAATCCAGTTGAAAGCAGATAATCTGGGTTTTATATGGCAGTGTAGAAGGGGCCAGAATGACAAGAGAGACAGGATAGGCTTGGTGCAGCCATGTACACAGCAGAAAGTGGAGAATAACTAGGAAAATGCCTGATCATTGGCTCACTTCAGTGCTCTTAACAGTTTTCACTGAATATCCTTAGAAACACCCCACATAATTGCCTTGCAGCATCTGTGTAAGTATGTCTCCAGCCCAACTGTCTACTTTCTGCTAGCCTTCAGTACATTTGATAACAACACAAGCTCACCCCCCTCCCCTTTGATAGTTGTTCAATAGTATCATCTGATAACACTATATGATAACATACAATTTACTTTCTCTATCCTTTATAGGGATGCTGGAGAAAAATCATTGTAGATGACAGTATACCCTTCAATGAAGACAATTGCATGTTGCTTCCAACAACAACATGTGAACTTGAACTTTGGCCAATCATATTATCCAAAGCCATCATTAAACTAGCAAACAATGAGTATGTTTTCTGTGCTTCCTATCAGCCAATTTTTGAGTTAAAATTAGAACAATTAGTAAGAAAATCAGGTGAAATACATAGTCTGGATCCTTATTTATTAGGAATTAATGAACTGGTGGTATATCTTCTTCAACTCTTGTATAAGAAACCTAGGAATAGGGAATGGATATTTATAAACCAAAAGCATTGCCTCCAGGTAACTTGGTCATATATATGTTGGAGTATAATTGAGTGTGTGCACTAAGTTATATCAAATTTTATTACTCTAAGAAAGACCTTGATTTTGCTTTTTAGTTTGATCTCCCTAAATTTCTAAGAACTTGAACTGATGAATAGTACATGTCAGACTGTTGCAATCTGTCATTTCTAAAAAGATTAGAATGGAAACCTATAATCCTTTCATTATTTACAACTATGCAGTAAATATAATTCTTAGTGTTTTTGTTTACTTGCCAGTAAATTGACCAACAAAAAAATTACATGTATGAAATATGGAGAAGATTTGGGAATGGTGAATAAACAGGGAATGTAAGATATAATTATACCTTCAGATTATTATTATTGTTATTGTTATTATTATTATTACTATTATTACTATTATTATTATTATTATTATTATTATTATTATTTTAGTATACACGACAATGGAAAAAGAGAACTGGGGGAATTCACAGTTCTGCATGCACTTACTGGATGGATACCAGAAATTATTCCACTTCAGTAAGTACTAGTTTTACAAGATGTGCCTTTCTCTTTTTGCCTCTGCTGTGCTTGATTCATCTGGCCTTTAGGGAAAATAGATTTATACTGTGACTCAGACCTTTAGAACAGTCAAAATCAATCCTTTGAAAAGCCATTTAAAAAATCTGAATGCCTGTGTCTCAAAAATTAGGAGTTCAGGATTATTGTTTCTGAAATCTTTTAGATCAGTTGTATCCAAATTCAGTCCTATTTAATTCTCCTACCCCAATAGTTGGAGCAATCTTAACTCAAAGATGCACTGACTGTAGGGGTTTAAGATTCACCAGAGGCCTCTTCTTCCTTTCTGCTGTCAGAACTGCCTTCTTATAAATCTGCAGACAAACAGCCTAAGTATAATACTTTGTCCCTGCAGTTATGTGTCCCCATCCACTCCTATCCTGCATTACTCTTTTTTCTTCCCTTTCTTTCTTTCTTTCTTTCTTTCTTTCTTTCTTTCTTTCTTTCTTTTTGACACAACACAAGGGCTATCTTTTAGCCTTTTGGTTCCCATCTCTTTTACACATACCATTCATAACTGTGCATTTGACCCGTAACAAACTAGTCAGTAAGAAAGATCCAAACTTCTTATAGGCCAAGGACACAACCACAATGCTGATACAAAGTTAGGCCCAGTCATGGATAGTCCTAAAAGGTTTCCAACTCCCCTGGACTGTGAGGATTCAACCGAATTTCAACAGGCCTGATATTGGTTTTGGTGGTCCTTGGTCATCATTGCCAGTTAGGATTGTGTTCTAGCTCTGAATCCCTCTGCTCTATGTCTGTATCCTATTACATGCTGATTTGTAAAGCTGTCACTCTTGAAACTAATTATGCTTTCTTTAGCCAAAGTGATGTTTTAAAAAGTGTTGTTAATATGCACAATAGCTTGAGTTATTGCATATCATAACCTTTGTTTAAGGCAGTGGTTCTCAACCTGGGGTCCCCAAATGCTTTTGGCCTACAACTCCCAGAAATCCCAGCTAATTTACCAGCTGTTAGGATTTCTGGAAGTTGAAGGCCAAAAACATCTGGGGACCCCAGCTTGAGAACCACTGGTTTAAGGTATATAGAAAAAGAATTCCTTTACTGAATAGTAGTTTTCAGACACATATCCCTGAATCCATCCAAGGATATGTATTTGTTGTATAGTTGGTCCTCCACATTTGCCTTTTTGATTTTTGTGGATTTGATTATTCGTGGGTTTGACTAGTGTGCTCTCTGTAGGAAGGTCTAGCTCTTCTAATCAGCTCCATGCTCAGCTTCCACCAAAGATTACCATAGACTCACCAGAGATTCCTAGAGAGGTGTTCTCTTATATAAAAGAATAGAGATGTTTTTAATTTGTGGTTTTGAAACTTTTGTGGCAGTTTTGAACCCCTAATTCCCACAAAGTGAGGGGGCCTAGTTATTAATACTACATTTTGAATATATTTTAGGAGGTTGCAGTGATTGATTTATCTCTCCCCCTGTATTCTATATGCTTTTTTCAAGAAATGTCTGTTTTTTTTAATTATCATACAATTAACATCAGAAAGATAGGGATGTAGTTAAATGGAATTGTAATTAATTTGATCACATAAAAGTAGGAAAATATGGATTGAATGCTTCATTAGTTTTCCTTCTACAAGCTAAAGTAAATATTCAGTTGTGAAAAAATGCAATGAATAAACAGAAGGCAATAATTCTATTTTAAAGTAACACATTTCTATTTTTAATTATATATTTAGTAATTATGTATTTAGTAATTTATATATTTAGTAATTTTAAGCAATATAAATGTTGTTATACAATTTGTAAAGATAGCCATTTTCCCAAATATGACCTAGTCCACTATATACACCAATTAAAACAAACTTTCCCCACCCTTCCTACAAAAAACAATAAACAAAATTATGAAATCAAAAAATAAAATGAACTTTCCACCTCCTACCTCAAAGACACACAATGAAAATATTATTTCAATCCCTCTCTAATTTTTCATTGTACGTTTCTTCATTCTACCTTATACCTCAATTTTTATTCATTTTTTAAAAATTCACAAGCTTTTTTTTTGCATTTTTGTCTTGTTATAAATGATTCCCATTCTTAAAAAAAGTAATCAATTCACTTTCCCTTTATCAAACAAGATATCTTATCAATTTCTGCCAGGAAATAAAACATTTCTATTTTAAAAGGTCTGGATATTTGCATAAAGTGTGGGACTTCTTAAAAGAAATATTGCCAGAATTTAAGTTTCCTGAAGAATCGCCCCCTGAAACTAAAACATCACTTCAGGATGCCAAAAAAGATCTTAAAACTTCTGAGATTAAAAATGAAGCTGCGCCTGTCATTAAACCACCAGAGAAGCCAGAAAAAGCTGAGAAACCTGGCAAAGGTATGGAATAATACAAATGGTGCATGGCATTGGTTATTAAAAGGCAGACTGTCATTGCAGTCCTTTTTGGGTGGTAGTGCAAAGTCATGGTTTGTGGGCTTACTCAAAAGAAAATATATGTACCACCAAATAATCAAATTAAATGTTAACTGGAATCTACAGATAAATACTAGTTCTCAAAGATGTTAGTGTATGTTAGAACATAAAGTTGTTACTCGGTGTAGCATAGGTAACTTTTCATCGAATCATAGAGTTGGAAGAGACCACAAAGGCCATCCAGTCTAACAGAAAAAGCACAATCAAAGCAACCCGACAAATGGCCATCCATCTTCTGTTTAAAAACCTCCACTGAGGAACACTCTATCACCCATATTCCACTGCCGAATCATTCCTACTGTCATTAAGTTCTTCCTAATGTTTTTTAGTCTTTTAAAATACTTTTTAATTTACATACATTAACAACTTACATTGTAAACAAAAAAACAAAACAAAACGGTGAACATTTTACAAACACATAGCCCCACCACCAAGGCCTGAACAAGTATCCTTTCCTTCGCTATATATTTATAAGTCAACCATTAATCAAATGTCATATCCAAAATTCCTGATCAACAGGGTTATAATGTTTTCCATTTTCACTCTAAAGCATATTTAATAAAGACCGACCAGTATGCATCAAAATCTGATCTGTTAGTTTTCCCCCTGAATACCCTCATTTCCATTGATAGTTTATCATTTAAGCTTATGTTCCATATCTCCCTATACCATGCTTCTGGTGTAAGATTAGTTACTATTTTCTAATTCCTTGCCATTATAATTCTTGCCACTGTGATTAAAATAATCACAAATCCTTCCTTTTCCATTTCTAAATTCAACTTTGTGGCATCCATTAGTAATGCTAGTCTAGTGTCCGGAGTCATATTTAGTCCTATAATATTGCCTATTTCGATAAATATGTCATTCCAAAAACTTCAATTGGGGACATTCCCACCATAAATGAAAATATGTCCCCTTGTGCATGCCACATCTCCAGCAGAGGTTGCTTTGCTTGCTATCCATCTGATGTTGTTTAACCGGTGTGGTATACCATCTCCATATAACTTTATATACATTTTCTTTCAATCTTATTGATAGATTCTTAACCACTCTCCACTTTAGAACCCTTTTCCAATCAAAATCTGTCAAGAGGCCTTCGGTCTCCTTCCCATACTTTTTCTAACAGCTTCAGCCCCATTTCTTCACCAATTAATCCATTATATATTTTCCCAATTAATCCTTTCTCTATTATTGGTTTTTAATTTTACCTAGCAATTCTTCATATTTATTCAATGCTCTACATCTGGGATTTTTACTTAGCCAGTCCTTTTTCCAATTATATAGCTGATGCCTCTCAAACCAATTCATGGCACCTTGTTCTTCATTCTTTGGGGCTGTTTCTCTGCAAAGGGACCAGGGCAACTGATCCGTATACATGAAAGAATGAATGGGGCCATGTATCGTGAGATATTGAGTGCAAACCTCCTTCCATCAGCAAAGGCACTGAAGACAAAATGTGGCTGGGTCTTTTAGCATGACAGTGATTCCAAGCACACCACCAGGGTAACAAAGGAGGCACTTCATAAGAAGCATTTCAAGCTCCTGGAGTGGCCATGCCAGTCTCCAGATCTCAATCCTATAGAAAACCTTTGGAGGGAGTTGAAAGTCCGTCTTTCCCAGCGACAGCCCCAAAACATCACTGCTCTTGAGGAGATCTGTATGGAGGAATGGGCCAACATACTAGCAACAGTGTGTGCCAACCTTGTGAGGACTTACAGAAAATGTTTGACCTCCGTCATTGCCAATAAAGGATATATAACAAAATATTGAGATGAACTTTTGTTATGGACCAAATACTTATTTTCCACCATAATTTGAAAATAAATTTGATAAAGTTTGAATTCAGCATCCCATTATACAAATACCAGAAATGTTTTCTATTGTTGAACTTTTAGGGGGTGAGAAATTTTGGAATACTTGTATTCACGTATGCACACATAGTGAGATGTCTTGAAGATCTCTTGAAGATGGGACCCAAGTCTCAACATTACATTCATTTCATATACACATAGACCAAATATACTTTTGCACAATATAAATGAATTCCTGAGTGGTGAGATATTGATGGAATAATTCTGAACTCTGAGTTATGGTTGATGTGCCCTTTAAATTCTATCTGTTAGAGCACGGACAGATATTTTCTGGTCACTTCTGAGGTGCAGAGCCAACCTTAAAAAATGGAACTACAAAGTGGAGTCCACGACATGCAAGTGTGAGGAAGAGCAAACCACAGACCACCTATCACAATGCAACCTGAATCATGCCACATGCACAGTGGAGGATGTTATAGCAACACCAGAGGCACTCCAAGTGGCCAGCTACTGGTCAAAGGACATTTAACAGAATGCCAATTTACAAACTTCTGTGTTTGTTTGTTTTTAAAAAAATATAATACAACTGTTTGGTTCACTCCTGATACGATATAAATAAACAAACAAATAAATAAATAAATAAACAGATATTTTTAATTTTAGCACTCCTTATTGCTTGAGAAAAGAACTATTGGATAGTATATGATCATATATGCTATTATCACATATGTATTCATTTCCTGTAGCAGAAAAGCCAGATCAAAAAGAAATTGGAAAGAAGAGAAGCAAAGATGGTGAAAAGGATAAATCTAAGCCTGGACGAATGTCTGCTGACTATCAAAGTTCTCTTCAGATGTTTCTTGATGGTAAATTATAAATGGCCTTGGGCACATGTAGTATTTCTTAGTATTGTACATTTTATTGTTAGCAAATTGTAGTAATGTATATGATAAACATTGCAGCAATTTGCAAAATGGGTCTGCAGTTGAAGATAGCAAACAAAATAAAAAGAAATAAATGAGAAAGAGTTCATAAATGGTTATTTGGCAGTATGTGAATATTGGTCCAAATTTCTACTTTACTTTGAATAAGCCAAAATCTTCCTGTTGTGCAATATTGAATGCACTGCTAACATTTTGAATTTGCTATATAAATGACTACTTTATATGCTACAATCCTGTGTGGTTGAGAGGAAAAAAGAATTCCCCTGGCTGTTAGGAATTCTATAAGCAGGAATTTCTCTCTATAGTTGTGATCAGAAGGGAATGTATTCACCCTAAGCCTCATAGGGAGTTCTTCTCTTGCAACACCACCAAAGGATTTCTTCTTTCCTCTGCAGTACCACAGTGAACCCCCCCCCCCCAACAAATATGTGTTTACTTTTAAGAACACCATTTATCTTCAGAGTCAAGCACATGCTGCCCATGGATCTTATTTACAACCAGGTAGTATTCCCAAGCCCTACTTTGCATAAAGAAAAACCTTGAGGTGTGTTAAAGGGTTCATGATTTATTCCATCCAGTTGGCAAGTTTTGGATCATCAGATAAAGAAGCTGCTTGCTATAGGGATAACTGCCATATTCTTTTTTTTCTTTTACCTTTTATCTGGCAGTCTACCTTGTCTTTTCCTTTAATAGAAGCATAGAGGAAAAGAAAAGGAAAACCATTACATTACAGGAAATACTTTTTCTGTTTCTTTAATCGAGAGTTAATATTTCAATGTATTTAATCGAGAGTTAATATTTCAATGTATTACTTAGTTTTATTTGCGCTTATAATGTATTTTTAGTCTTAAGGTGAGAACATGTATGTTGTTTAAATAATCATAAAATCGGGTTGTTGTAGGTTTTTCCGGGCTATATGGCCATGTTCTGGAGGCAATAACATGGCCATATAGCCCGGAAAAACCTACAACAACCCATGGATTCCAGCCATGAAAGCCTTCGACAATACAAATCATAAAATCACTTCTGAAATTATTCCATTGTTGCAGTGAAAAGAATGTGCTTTTTTCAGGATTCTATTTAGGTTACCTTACAGAACAGATTATTTCTGTGGTGCTACTCTGGAGGCTGGATTTATCCTGCCATGCAATCCAGTTTCTGAATTCAGATTATCTGCTTTGAACTGGATTATATGAGTGTACACTGCCATACAATCCAGTTCAAAGTAGATAATCTGGATTCAGAAACTGGATTATATGGCATTGTAAATGGGGCCCGAATAAGTGATTTTCATATCTTCATTTATTGCCTTTATAGCATCATCACACCTAATTGTCTGTTATTACTGATATATTCTATAGTGTTACATCTTATTTTTAACGATTTAATGGGTTTCTTTTTAACAGGTTCTGGAGTGCCACTGCAGCCTCAAATGGTGGCCTATGCTTACTATTTGCCTCTTTATGTATCTGAAAAAAAAATCTTTGTATTAGAGAAAATGGTAAGAATTTGTAGAATTGGCCTCTTAAATGTTAACTGTTCTATCAATACACTGGCCAGGAGTCAATTGGGTCCTTATGCTACCAAAGGAAGCCTATCAGAAATGTACAGTGGAAGCAGCTTTCCTCTGGAGCAGAAATTTGTGAGTGTGGAGGCTGCATGATGGGAAGGAGTCAGCTTTCTCTGTAATTTCAGACAGCTCAAGGGTGTAGCTGGAATATGGACATTCAGTGCACTACTTCTGAAGAATCAAACTTATTCTGAAAAGGGTTTCATGGTATGCATGTTTTATGTCTGTGTATACCTTGGATTTTTTCTTTTTTTAAAAAAAAAAATCAAAACCAAAGCACTTTGATATGTAAAAGTGAAATGTATATTTTATAAAGGTTTCTTTTCCAGGCAGTACAGTAGTGAATGAGTACTTGGGTGACAATTATTTATAGGGGGGGGGGGGGGGGGGGGGGGGGGGGGGGGTGCAGTTTGTTAAGGAGATCTACCCACTGGTACTAGAGATTTTCCATGTGGGAAAATACCATGTTCAAGATGTCTGACATAATGATCTAACAGACCTACTGATCAACCACGTTGACTGATTAACTTGGAGATAAACTGTCATCTCAAATCATACCACACATGTACACACAATAAAAAATACAAAATAATCTAGACATTGATATGACTTTTATAAGAATATCCAAGTTCCCATGTACGTCTATAACCCTGTTCTACTTTTGCAGTTAGGGCTGTTGGTAAATCCCACATTGAGACATGTTTTGAACATTGATATTGGTGATATAGTTTCTTATCCACAGGCATTTGATTCTTTCTTTTAAACCAGTGAGACACATTAAAGAATTGGATTCTCAAAACTAACAAATCTTACAATTGTACTAAAATGAGAAAGCATCCTCTTTTGATTTTTGGCTTGTAACAAAGGCTGTTTTGTGTATTTTGTAGGCAGATTCTTCTGAGAAGTTGCGAGAGTATGGTCTTTCCCATATTTACAGCCACCCTGCACTGCTAACTAGGACAAGGTCAGGTCCACTGGTAGCACCTCCGAAACCCCCATTTGTGCCACGCTGGAAACTTATACGCCAAAAGAAAGAAACAATTGTGACAGATGAACCCCAAGGTCTGCCTTTCCATGCTTTACACTATAATTTAGTTTTAGTAGTATTTGTGTTCATCTCTGTTGGCGATTATCTGCCTTTGATCCTGAGTCAGTGTGATGAGTCATTGATAGTACTGGATCACACTTTGATTGATTGTTATGACAGATAGCCGGCTGGCAGTTTCCACTGCATTTTAGGAATTTTATAATTTTCAATTTTTTATTAATGAGATTTTAATGTGCTGTTGTTTATACTTATGTCATTATATTTATACTTGTGTATTGTTGCCTTCATTTGGCACTTGGAGTGCTTCTGTGAGCTGCCCCGGGTCCCTTTGGGGAGATGGTGGCGGGATATAAATAAATATCATCATCATCATCATCATCATCATCATCATCATCATGTATGCAGTAAAAATACTTTTGTCACATTGGTGGCAAAATGGGTCTCTTGCAGTTATGTCTTTCTGAAAATGATGACATTGCACACATGATAAATTGTTTGCAATATTAAAAAGTTGTATATCTGAGTATATTATATTGAAGGGATGATGCCACTGAAGTGCAGAAGGGTAAAACGCTATTGGTATTGGTGGCAACACTTTTCCTAACATTTGCTGCGTAGTTCCAGTTATTTGGCTGGGGAGTATCAAATGTGCACTTCTACTGTGTAATTGGCATACTATTTTTTCATCTGTACATATAAAGCAGCAGCACTTTAAACCATTGTAAAACACTATGCCCCCCCCCCCAAGAAAAACAGAATCATGTGAGACCTTACAAACTAGCACATGTGTAGAGATAGTGCATACTTCATATTGTTTCAGTTTGTTGAGAAGTTTTGAGTTTCTCTGTCTGCCTATGAAATGTATTGCATTATGCTCTTCCGTTGGTTTCAGGTATAAGAGCGGTGCCAACAGTCTCTTGCACTTGCTGAGATTTTTCAGCTTTGAAAAAGGCAGAAGGGTCTTGCTTCCTTCAGTCTGTAAATTGAAATACACTGTAGATACAATTTATACTTTATTTGAAACCTAATTTGCGAAACAAATTGTAGTAAAATGCAGACCAGCAAAACCTGAACTGCAGTTTTAACAGCAGTCATGCCATTTATATCTAGCATGTGAAATTAAAGATATCCTTTCACAAATACTCAATATTTGGAAGTTATATTTCACTTTTTACAAGCATTTCAGTTTCTGAAATCTGAGTCAAGTGTACATAATGACTTGCTTCACAGAGGATAGTAATCCACCCCATTCTGTTTTAAAAGGTCTACAATTCAAATCCAATTTAATGATAAACAATCATAAGAAGGGAGAACTTGAAATTATCATCAATACCTATTTAGGATTATGGGAATCTGTTCAGAATCTCTACCCTTAGAATGAAATGTAATGGATTGCTTAGTTAAATTTTGATAATTATTTTAAAATTTACATGTGTATATGTTGAGAACTCTAGAATGAGAGGTATTGTATATGTGTAGATTCTCCAGAGAGCATATTCCCTGGTTGGTTTAGAAAGTTGCCTTCATATGTGAATTTTATTTTTAACAGGAAAAGTCATATTTCTGAATGACAGAGATCTTCTCTTTTATCTTTCTTTTATCCTTCAGAACCTGTGATTAAAAAGCCAGAACAATTTATTGAGCTTGCTAGTCCTTTCGTGAACTTCAGACTTTTTGCAATGCCTATACCAAGAGACACGTAAGCATATCAAGTAGTGGACCTCATTTAATTTAGCATGACACTGGATCGGGGGGGGGGGGGGGATTGCAAAAGTAGCATTTCTAATGAAAACACATTGTGATAAATTGTATTACTGCTACCAATTTTGTTAACATTACTTTGGTGGACACCGTCAATTTTTGGGGAACATCTCTTTTTTAAGGACAGATTTATTTAAAGGAAGACTTAGTCCCTTTAATATAATATTCTTTATTATGCTAGTAACATGAAACATGAACATTTATTTCCCTGTTGACCTTTATCCCTTTTTATTGCTGGTATTCTCTGATACCATCTGAATATATAAGGCAGAAATGTCTTACATATATCTAGCTAGCTGTGTACTGTCTGCTAGAAAATGGTGGTGTAAATGCTGTTTGGCAGTGTACCACCCTGACATTATCGTTATAACTGCCTATACAAATTGGACCACATGATTCTCCTGGGCATCTGGATGGCATCCAGGTAATTGTTGCCCTTAATGCAGGGATAAAATTGGTTTACCTGATTTTACCCCATGATAACAGAAGTTGGGGGATACTCTGGAGCAGTGGATCTCAACCTTTGAATCTCCCAAGTGTTTTGGACTTCAACTCCTAAAACCCCCAGACAGCTAGGAATTGTGGGATCTGAAATCCAAAACACTTGGAGGACCAAGGTTAAGGTGTGAACAACTGAGCCAGTTCTCATTTATAACTGGTCCCACTGTTCACATGAACCAGTGTCATCACCTTGGTTTTCCTGTGCTCCATGGTGTGGGGATAGGGGGATGGCATTTACTTTTTGTATCCTTTGCCACCAGAGCAGTAGCCATGTAGCTCCAGAGAGCTCCTGGCTACTGCAGACCATATGTGCCAATCTCAGAAGAGATGCCCATATGATTTGGATAGGAGGGCGAACCCAATTAGACCTGACTGGATGGTCAGGACCCTGTTCCCACTTTCCATGTTTTGGAAGGATCTGCAGAATCCAGGACTGGTCCAAAGCACCAATGCTTCAGAATGGTTTGGATTTTGGTCCCAGTTTAGATGGGCCTACTATAAACTTATATGGTCCTACTCCCCAGCAAAATGTATAGTTCTGTCTTACATTACCTTTTGCTTTTTGTTTCACATCTCACAGTAACAATGTCTTCCTTAGATTTTAAGTATGACAAACGCAAAATGTCAGACATTATAAGGGTTAATTGTATTGTAGTAACTTAAATGCTATTATGGATGTCAAGATAAGACTGAGAGATATAAAACTCACTAAATATCTAAAGAGAATAAAATCCTTCAGAAATTTTGGTTCATCATTATGCTTCTAGTTTATTTGTATACTTTTGCAGAATGCCCTAATATTGTCTGCTTACGTTTTTGAAACAACTTAGTTTTCTGTGAAAAGTTGCCCTTTTAACAACATTTAATGTTTAATAGTGTGACATTTCATTTTTCTGAAGGAGAATTCATTTTCAGAATGAACTTGTCAAAATACTTTTTTTAGTATTGATTGGTATCTCATCAGAATGCAAGGGAGTACATTGGAAACATAATGGAACATCATTTCTGAAGTCAATTTAATTATCCCTTTGACACAGAGGATTATGAAACTATCTCTCAGTAGGATTTATTTTTTATTGTATTTAACACTATTACTGGAATACAATTACTCTATGCCAGACATTGTCAAATATTCTAATACTATTTGAGTTTTCCGTGATTGAGCTTGAACCAAAGCCATATACACCATCAATGAGAGAGACATTTGAGCAGACTTAAAATCACCCGAAGCTTAGCAGATAACAAAAAGAAAGAAAAACTAAGTTAAGGACTTCTCCCAGCCCTGCAAGATCCCATAATAAATGACACAGAATGATGAGTGTGGGGAAGCTGAAAATAGGGTCTGGTGAATAGTAAGAAGTGATAGTGCAGAAGTAAAGCACTGCCTTTATATACAGAGATAATAAATAAAAGTCTCATTGTCCCTTCCTTGTTCACTCAGATCATCAAAAAACTATTTTAAATGTTTCCAAGGAAAAAAGAGATTCTTCCTTAGATATCAAGGGAGATTCAGGTGATAATAATGTGTCTGGGAGTGGGCAAATTAATGCCATCCTCACCTAAACCCACAAAAGAAATTGGAATAAAAAGTGAAAAGAAACCTTCAGAAAAAGCTACTGAGAACTGAACACTTGTTAATTTTTACAGATGGATAGTGATATGCTTGTGTTTTATTTAGCCATTTCCCACCATCTACCTTCAAAAGGGGATCACTTCCAGTATCCAACCTCGCTTCTGTCACGGAAAGTGATGAAAATGTAATTGAAATGTATGGAGATTCAAATCCCATGAGTACAGAAGATAATTCTCAGGTTAAGGTTTTATTTTATACTTTAACAAAACTGTGGAAGAGGTATAGTTCTTAATTCCTGTTGAATCATTTTTTTAAAAAATCTATGCTCTTTGCATTTGAATGTATTTGGAGACACTGGTTTATAGTGATAATGACCTTTCATAAAATGCTTTATAACGGTTTTGCTCTGTAATATGTCATTTGTCACAAGTCACCAAGTTGGATGAATCGCAACAGTGACATCCTTCAGGCAGTTGCAGCTTGCCATTGCCTTGTTTTTTGAGACCTAGTTAGGCTGCAAAACCAGAAACGGTGTCACACAGGACTCCTTTTAATTTTGTTAAACAAACTAGTCCAATGTGGGCTAGGCAAAACTACAGTGAGGTGAATCTGTAATTGGTTAAATGGACGAACCCAGAGGGTGCTCACCAATGCTTCCTATTCATCTTGGAAAGAAGTGACAAGTGGAGTGCCGCAGGGTTCTGTCCTGGGCCCGGTCCTGTTCAACATCTTTATTAATGACTTAGATGAAGGGCTAGAAGGCATGATCATCAAGTTTGCATACGACACCAAATTGGGAGGGATAGCCAATACTCCAGAGGACAGGAGCAGGATTCAAAACGATCTTGACAGATTAGAGAGATGGGCCAAAACTAACAAAATGAAGTTCAACAGTGACAAATGCAAGATACTCCACTTTGGCAGGGAAAACGAAATGCAAAGATACAAAATGGGGGGATGCCTGGCTTGAGAGCAGTACGTGTGAAAAAGATCTTGGGAGTCCTCGTGGACAACAAGTTAAACATGAGACAACAATGTGATGTGGCGGCAAAAAAAGCCAATGGGATTTTGGCCTGCATCAATAGGAGCATAGTGTCTAGATCTAGGGAAGTAATGCTACCCCTTTATTCCGCTTTGGTTAGACCACACCTGGAATATTGTGTCCAATTCTGGGCACCACAATTCAAGAGAGATATTGACAAGCTGGAATGTGTCCAGAGGAGGGCGACTAAAATGATCAAGGGTCTGGAGAACAAGCCCTATGAGGAGTGGCTTAAGGAGCTGGGCATGTTAAGCCTGAAGAAGAGAAGGCTGAGAGGAGATATGATAGCCATGTATAAATATGTGAGAGGAAGCCACAGGGAGGAGGGAGCAAGCTTGTTTTCTGCTTCCTTGGAGACTAGGACGCGGAACAATGGCTTCAAACTACAAGAGAGGAGATTCCATCTGAACATGAGAAGAACTTCCTGACTGTGAGAGCCGTTCAGCAGTGGAACTCTCTGCCCCGGAGTGTGGTGGAGGCTCCTTCTTTGGAAGCTTTTAAACAGGGGCTGGATGGCCATCTGTCAGGGGTGATTTGAATGCAATTTCCTGCTTCTTGGCAGGGGGTTGGACTGGATGGCCCATGAGGTCTCTTCCAACTCTTTGATTCTATGATTCTATGATTCTATGTTAATCACAGGTTGTGTGGGTGTGATTATTATGTATTTCTTGAAAAAAAATATGCATTTAAAACATTCATACAAAGAAAAAAGGAGAAGAGGTTAAGCATTGTGGAGCTCTGGTTAGTAGGTTAGGTCTATATAAATATCTACTATGAATTTCTTATAATAAGATAAAACTCTATTTTTCAGACATTTAGTGATGAGAAGCAGACATTAGTTAAAAAGACAGAAAATGAGTATATTTGTGGAAAGACTAAACCTTAAGTTAATAACCATTTTTTTATTTCCTGTTGTTATGTCAACAATGTTCTAAACAAGAATTTTCTCCTCTCACTCTGTAGGAATCTACATTACTTTCCAATTTAGTTCCGCAACATCCTGTCGAAGGATCCACTAAAGGTAATGGTTATGAAATATATGTTCTTTGGATGGGCAATCTAAAATGACTTTTTAAATTCATTTTGCTTATTTCCTAATAGAATTTTACATTTTATCTAGTCTCAAGATAGCTTACAATGCAAAATTAAAAATAGATGGTGAAACTATAAAAACAAAAAACAAAGGAAAATAATTTAAAACAGTTTGAAATAATGGTGATATATGAAATCCATCCATGTTCACCTGCAAGCAAGATTGACTCCTTTGCTCTTTCAAAACATGCTACACTCAGAGCAAATTAATGGAACATGTAGGGTGTGCAGGAAGAAGAGAAATGGGGAAACAGTGACCCATTCACATTACACATTAGTAAGAATAAATAAGCACTTAAAGATAATGGATACTTCACCCACAAAAGAATGGGACAAAGTAAAGTTAATATTTAAAAATATTTTCATCTTAAAATATTAGGTTTCAGAGCACAGAAGTTAATGATTTCAATATGGTTAAAGGATGTATTCATTTATACTGTTATTATTCCCAGGCCTCAACAGGTGTGGATATGTTCTACCCTATCTACAGCAACAATTGTATAATTAATGGTTTCTTAGTGTTACTGCACAACAGCAGACACTCTTACCATTGAATTGTGAGGTTTGGGGTCATCACATTGGTTATTGGTTATTGGCTCCTACTGCCATACTGACAATTGGAAGTTGATACGTTAGGAAGGTTGAAGAAAAAATCCATCCTCATGTTGATGCGAGAGATAATTGTTTTCTTTCTTTTAACATTATTCTGTCCATTATATTCTAAACATAACATTCAGTATCTGTGAGTATAACTTACAGTATTCTTATCAAGGCTATATAACAAAAGTGATGAGGATGGGAGAGAGATGGACATGCATTGGAACTTGGACTCCTGCCTCAGTCAACTGGCATGAGGGAAGAACCCACCTCTTGTGGATTGTTCCTTTAACCTTCTAGAATGATTGTTCACTGTCAGTATTAGCATCTTATTATGTCCTACACTATGTCAGGTTGCCAGGCAGTGTAGAATAAAATTCATTGTGACAGTTCAAAACAATAAAAAATACTTAAAATTAAAGCTGTACTCAATCAGCAACTAAAATGAGTAGTCTGAAAATACTTTAAAACCATTTAAATCCACTCTGCCCAAGTCCAACTAACCATATCTCTATAACATATGCCATGTCAGCCCTTTTGTCCACAATCAGGCAATGAAAAGTAGTTTTATTGTGTACTGACCTGATATTCAGCAGCAGCACCAAGAGATTATACAGTGAGTTAAGAGGGGAAACCTAGATCTTGAAATATAGGGAAATACCAAAACATGAGATTGATCTGAATTATGTATCCTGCCTTTCCTTTGGCCATCCAACCAACACCTAGTAGCATACCTGTGTTTCCCTGGCATCCCATTCTTCCCTCTTCCCTTGAGATTCACTCAGGCCTATATACAAGCAAGACAAGCACACATCTCTACAACAAATAGTAAAATACTAGTGCAGCCAGTCAGCCGTAACAATTGCAGCATTCCACTTTCACCTGTTGCACACCCTGGGACTTTGGAGATGATGTCAATATACTCAATCACATTCTCACTGTGGGTGGGTACTACTAGATCTTGCCTCTCACCCAAGTTCTGTATTCCCTCTTCAAGTTAAAGAATTGGTATTCTTGTCCCTGTGTTTCCCAGAAGTGGTAACCACCAATAGCAAACTGCTCCCAGTGTCAGACACTGCTATCCTACACCAGCCCAAAAGGTAATGGCCCTTGGACGGGAAGAAACAATTGGCTTCAATCAGCATATTTGGACACAGGCATGATTCTAAAAAATGAAACATTCGCTAAGACAGCTTCCTCTTTAATATTCTTCCCTTCTCCTAATATCCCTTGGCCAAGTTTCAGTAGACTGAGATCATTCCTTAAAATGCTTACACCAACAATTTGGCATATGCTTAAGCTTTCACTCATAAATACATTTCCATTTAGAAGTTTGTAAAATCAGCCAAATGGTTTATTCGTGGCTCATGGTATGTAATTTACTGTGTTTTCCTGGATTCATGCACTCTGTGAGTTATTCATAATATTTGAGTACCTTTTCACATCAGTATGCCTTACTGTTGTTACAACATACTATTTTTCAATATGGTATTTATGAAGAATATAATCTCAAAGCTTCATTTGTAATGTATTTTGACCTAATGGTTTGTGTTGTCAAATTGTATAAGATCACAGGGAATCAAGAACTCGTGCTGTGTCAAGAGGCTTTGCTGTAACTTCAGCCTCATATAAAATGTTAGGGTATAAATCATAAATCATAAAGGGGTGAAAATTGAAATAATGGGTTTAAGGGAAATGTTTTGAAATTAGCAGGCCTTTTTAGTCAACAAAATAATTAGATCAATTTTTGAACTGGTATTTGGAAATGCTAAGTGAGTCCACTGATAAGAACAATATCTGTTTTTACTGGTTTGGAGGGAAGGCTCTCCCGGGTACTAAAGTCTCTTCAGAGACTTTCAGGTTAAAGGTTTTAAAAATTAATTCGAAGTGACTCAAAGAAGGTAAAGAAGTCTGGTTGAGGGCAAGCAGGTTTTAATGCAAAACGATTGTTTCTTTGTTAAGAAGACATAAAAGGATTGCTGTGGAAACACAACAGAACAGTGCTTGGTATAAGCTGTTTTTCAAAGGAAAAACAGGTACCCAAAATTCCACTCCTGACAAAAGCTAAGGAGATGGTAGGTGGTACAGCCAAGCTTATTTGGCTTCAGACTAACTCACACATGGATTTTCTCTCAATCTGATGTGAATAAAAGTCCTAATAAAGCCTGTGTGCTAGAAAGTCTGCTGGAATCTGTGAGACCCCTCAAATCTCTCTAATCTAGTAGAAGATAATTCTGGAGTCTCTGTGCTTTTGCTTTGCTTTGGCCCTCTGTTTATATTTAAACTGTTCCTAACTTCAGCAGAAGATTTGTCCTGACTAAAGTCTTTATTGTAAATCTTTTTGAAATGAAAATACTTTTAAAGCCATGCATAAAGGTTGGGGCTGCTAATGTGAATTAATAATGATTAATGAATTAATGGAAAGATAGTATACTAATCATTCTTAAAATGGATGAGGAATAAAATATTAATAAAATAATTAATTGAGACTAAATATAAAATTGGGAACAGCCTTAATCAGTATTTACAGTTATATGTGATTCATTGATAGAATGAAAATAATGTGAGAGAGTGTGTGTGAAAGGAGAAAGCATTACAAGCAGCAGGTATACAGTGCCTGTTGCTTTTCAGTCTTTAAGAGTGTATATATTTAAATGACTTGTCCCATTTTTGAAATACTTTTAACATTATGCAATGAAAGTATCTGAACTTTCTGCTTGATATTAGTGGTTATCGGTGTTCCAAAACAGGTATATGTCACCTAAATGATGATAAGTTTGAAAGCTGACCTTTAGCTTATTTTATAAGAACAGAAAGTCAAATAGTTAATTATTTGACTTCAGTCCACTAAAGGTTCATGAATATTTAAGAGCTGTCAAGCTGAAACATTGGGCACAGCAATTTTTACAGATTTTGGGGGAGGACTGTGACATCACCTCCCATTTTGAATTCATCTTCAAGGAACAAACAACAAATGAAAATCTTTCGTATATATGCAAGCTTTCTGCCAACCCCCACAAAAATACTCTTTATATTCTTCCAAACATATTTCTAATTTCATTTTCTGCTGCAGATATTAATGTTCTATGACACAGTTTCTCACAAATTTTTGTCCCAGTCTACTGCTGCTGCTATTATTCTTATTATTTTAAAACATAAAATAATCATTCCAGAAAAGAAAAGGCTGTTATATCATAGATCAATAAAATAACATCTAAAACATGGTGATCAATGGTACAAAACAAGGGCAAGAACATGAAACAAACATTAATATAAGAAGTACAGAAATCAAATAACTATATTTTTCAAGATTGTGGTTGTTATCTTTAGTGAATATTCACACATGCTATGAACACAACATAGGAGAGGGAAATACAAATAAATTGCATAAATGTCCATCATTTCCATGGCAACCAATTATTTGGCCTGAGAAGCCCTGTTTATTTGAGCCATTTTAGCTGTAGTAATTGTGAATGGTGCTGTGCATTCTCTTGGCTCTTGGATGGTGAGAAATCCTTCTGTTAGAATGGAAGACACATAAGTAAGACTAGAAATGTGAAGACCAGAAGAAGAAGGAGAAAATTAATAAAAATTACAGTCCAGACATACATATATATTAGGCCTGGGTAACAACGCAAAAATTTGTTTCTAAAATTGATTTGTAATTGGGGTGTTTTTTTGTTTCG